AATTTGATTCTGCATACTAAGACAAAACTTGTGTGCTATCATTTCAACCTGTGTATTGTCTCAGAAGAGAATATATTTAAGGCTTCATGTATTGCTGCTTCCAATACATGAAATTTTCAGAAATTTTCAGAAATTTCAGAATATCTGGGAAACAGCAGAATGTTTGAAAATGTATATGTATGAATTATACTCTTGTCATAAAATCTAAGTGACCAACTCACAATTATACCTCCTCCTTAAATGAATTCTTGCCTTTTGACACCAGAAATTTACCTGTAAAATAAAGGAAGTGTTAATTAGAAGTGCATTTCTTTTATGCACAAAAAGGGGGGCTTCTGGAATGTGAAAAGAGAATGCACTAGTTGTTGGAACTGGATACTTTGTAGGGTTAGGCTTCTTACCCCCCTGCAAAGATGAAGGTTTACAAGCTAGCTTGGGGTACATCTATTTGAAACAAGCAGTCACATGGAACCCCTGAGGGCTTTGGTTTTTTGTTATGAATTTTTATATCAAAGGGCCCCATTTCTTCCATCAGCTGCATGGGACAGCCAAAGAGCTCCAGGCAACTGGAGAAGTGGCATCCTTTTATATAAAAGCTGCAGCAAACAGTCAAGTAGCTCATTAATTCAGCAACCTGCTGCAAATAAGCAGGTTGTGAACCATCTGGATATGAATGATCCAGGTTCTGCTGTATCAGCTTGTTGATGTCTTGTTGCCTTCCTGACATGCATGTTTAATGTTACATAACTAGACTTTTTCTCTTTCTCTGCATATCCCTACTTATGCATCTTACTCCATAGAGATACGTGGAATAGTTGTTAATATATCAATGTTTTGAGATAATTTTTTAAGATGTTAAGTTGAAATAAATAATATGTTACGGGATTATATTTGTTCACATTAATGTCAATGGCAACAGGATGGGAACCAAAGTAGGTATATTTAATTTTGCATGGGAAAAATGGAATGATTTGTTATGATAGTCACTTAATGAAAAAATATTGCAGATGCTTATCCTTGGATTTATATCTCCTTTCTGTAACACGAGTGTACCATAGTAAGCCTGGCACCCTTAGGTACGTAGACATCACAAAAAAATCCTAGTGAACCAGTATATGTTTCATTGTTTAAGAGAAAAAAGATGGATATTACAATAACAGATGAAATCAGGGAATAAGTCCAGAGATGCAGAGTGAAACCAGCACCGAGAAAGTCAATAGGAGTTTTTTTTCCTCATTAAAATAAAACTCTCATTGACTACACTGAGGCCACAAGTTTTACTCTCAGTGCGGGGGAGGCGGGGGCAAGCAGTGAGGGGAATAGGCAGCAGGGGGCAAGGTGTGGTCAGGTGAGGGGCAAGAGTCAAGCAGCTTGACCCCTCCTGCTCCTGCCTGCCCATCTACCTCCTCCCATACTGCTTCCCCCACCACCTGCACCTGCCCCCTGACAACTGCTTTCCCAGTTGCAGCAGCAGGTGGGGGGGGAAGAGGGGGAAGGTGATGGGGGACGGACAAATTTAAGATGAACCTCCAATAGTTAGATTCTATACATGGAAAATTATAACAAATTTATAAAATTTGTCATGTATAGAATTTAATTCTTAGGGGGCCGTCTTAAATTCAGCCGTATCATCTTGAATTCAGGTAAACAGGGTAAGACAGGGCCAGTCCATACCACATCAGCAACTGGTCCTGTGAATGGGTCTAGGCACACCCCACCCACACCTGCCCAGCCAGCCTTAGGAAGTTGAGCAGTGAGGCTCCTCCATGCTTTTCCCCAGCAGCCACTCTCAGGCTTGCCAGAGGCCAAGAGCTGAAGAACAAGCACTGGAGATGAGCCCATAGGAGCTTCATTGGCTATGTTTCAATTCTGGAGCAGGGTGTACTAAGCCCCTGACTCCCTCCAACATGCAGCTACCACACAATAGACAAATCTTTAATGTTTATTTGTCTCTAATCCTCCGAAAAGAGACTTAAAAAGCACTTTCTCTCTTACAGCATAGTTTAATAAATCTCAGTTTGGAAAGGTCTCTGAGTTGCTCATTCCTTTATCCCTAGTTATTTCTTCTCAGATCATTCATAGTAAGTTCTTTCTCTCCTTGGAATTTATGTAATTGAAATATTTATAGATAGTCTTATCCCTGATTTGTTGCTGTTTATCTAAGCTGCATATTCATGCTAACATCCACTGTTCTAGAGCTGAAGATGCAAAATGGAGATTATAGTAGATCATTTTTCTAGTTTTTTCATTCTGAGAATTCTGCATATACACAAACCTTTTTTTTTTCTGTTTGCATTGAGTAAAGTGAGGCTTTTTCCTCCTTCATGTATTGTTATAAATCTGTGTTGTCTTCAGAACTCATTCAGAAGTTAAGTATTGGGAAGTGGTTCCCCTGCATTTTAGACATATGGGAATACATTTAGTGGAGTCTCAATTGTTGCTTACAAATCCTGAAAAGTAAAATAATTCTTAAAATTTTGTGATGGCTACATACAGATTTTTGAAAGCTGACTTCTGTTTACAAAATGTGGTCAATCTGCTGGTCAATAACATTAGGACATTTTAGTGAACATTGCTGCACTCTTAACATCTGCAGATATTTGCATGAAGGAAGCATAGATTCTTAAATACTTTTTTTGTAACTTTTACATGCAGATTTTATATCTAACCCACAGAGGATGCAACTCATGCATTCCCTAGCTACAGAACCTAGCTCTTTTCTTCAAGCCACTGAAGTGCATGCTTTCAGCCCTGCAGGTCCCCTGTTTAATTCCAAAGTGCTTCTGTAGCATTTCTTGTGCATTGTACTTAAGGGAGAAGAAAGCCCTGTCACTAAAGCACATATGCAATTTGTATGATGGAGCTAAGGAAGTTTCCTTTCAGAGCTCTATATTATGATAGAGCCTGGCTCTGAAAGGTCAGTAACTCTCTAGTTAAGGAATTCACTTTACCTCTTGCCTGTATTTTTGTCTGTATTTTTCATTGCAGTTTATTACATTTATCATAGAATTCTTTATCACATTATAATTTAGTGACCTCTGGGTAGCTTTTCCCCCGTTAGGAGTTCCACAAACTATTCACTATATAATATATGTCATTACATTTTCTTATGCATTTTTGCCTTCAAAACAGAATAACTAAGGGAAGTGCTCAGTTCATGATTGACTGGGGAATGTACAATTTCAATTCCCTTAGAAAGTGGGTGTGTAGTTACTTGAGATTGTATTACTTTGGATAGTTCTGATTTCAGGGAATCATAGTTAGAGCGGCAAACAATCTGTTAGGTCACTGATCTAAACCCTGCCAATATGATATTGTTCCCTGCAGTATATTTTTGAATGTTTTGTCCAATTTAGTTTGAATGACTCAAGCAATAAGGCTTCCACCACTTCCTCTGAGAGACTATTGTATGGCCTAATAGCTCTCACTGTTAGAAAATATTTCCTGGTATTCAGCCTAAGCTTTCTTAGTTCAGATTCATCTTATTATTCTTAGTTATACCTTCTTAATTTTCCCAAAAATTATTTTCCTGCATTGGCAAGTACATATTTAGTTCCTGTAGACTTTTTCTTGTAAATAGGCCATCTGCTGAGGGGAAGGGGACTATTTTTGATTAAAAACTGTGAAAAAAGTGTTAGCATCACAGGCTTCTGAGGGACCCAGAATCTTATTTTTAAAAGAAAATAATTTCTTTTGAAGTATTATGTAGAAGTTGGTAATTTCGTCAAATAAATTAGAATTTTGAGAATATAGATAATAGACATTCTCTAATGGTTTTTCTGGCTGGTTTCTTCAATAAATGCTTCATAGACATTGTATACTAGATTTTAAGCAGCAAATAAGTATGTACTTACACACTCAGGCAGCAGGAGCCCAAGTGGCTCATATTGTAGTGATGACATGAAATGTTCAAAGACCATTTGAAGGATTTTTATTGGCTAATTCACAGACAAAATTGGTATATTGGGCTCTCAGCATCAAAATCAAACTGCTTAGGTGACTGCCAGGTGGGGAATGGAAACTGATCTTTCTAAGTATAACTATTTGATTTTACTCCCTAGCCCATGTTCAACCATAGAGCAAGTTTATAGCCACTCCAACCTGTTTTTTTGGCGCTAGTTCTTTTGAAGAACCTAATTCAGCCATTACTTTCTTGATTGTGCTTTTCATACTTGACTTAATCAACTTTTGCTGGATCTGTGCCTATGTACTTTCAATACACTGTACAAATGTGAATTAATGACCTTCATAGTCTTAGTTCCCCTTTGAATAACTATTGCTATCTCCATTATATTGACTGATGAAATAGAGAGATTAAGGGACTTTCCCATAATGATACAGTGAGTCACTATTAGAACTGACAGTTTGATTTATGGAGTTTCTTGCTGACAGTCTGATTCTTAGTTGACTAAACTCTGCTCCTCCTGTATGGTCCTAATACACTGCAGTGCACAAACACTAAATAAAATTAATTAAAAGTCTGTCCTTGTTCAGGAAATAATGGGCTCCTATACACATACAGGGAGACAGCTCCGATGCACTGTGATTAATCGAGTCTGCTGGAGCGTGGTAATTGCCACATTCCAGCAGACTCCAGCATCATGTGTATCAGCATGCCCACACTGAAAAATGGCAGCGGGGTACTTTAAGCTAAAGCTCATTTGAGGAGTTTAAGTTCAAAGCACCCTGTCACCATCCTTCAGTACAGGGACGCTGATACATGTGATGCTCTGGGCACATTAATTAGCATGGCTCTCAGCGCTGCACTAGTTAAAGTGTCCTCCCAAACACACGCACATGTCTATAAACACCCAGTATGTGCTTAACTCTTAGCCTAAGCTTACAAGCTTTAATGAACTGAAGTGTGAGGAACTTAGGTATTCATTTAGAAACAGAATCAGTGACTTAATTTAAATGAATTGTGCCCTCCTATCCACAGCCCAGATTGCAATTTGATGGAACAAACCAATTCTGTGGGTTTTTTTACTAGTTTCGTAAAAATGGATGAACGAGCTAATATGTAGAACCACGTTAGTGTACCGATTCACTGCATCTTCATTATTGGAAGGTAGAGCAGTACTAAGATACGAGTTAAGAGTGGAGCAATATATCAATATTTTGAACGTATCAAATCACCAGCTTGATTTGATTATATGCTGATTATTAGGTTCCTACAAATGTCTACAATAACAAAAACCAATAATAAAGTGAAATAAGAGATGTAGGTGTTGCTTCAGTGAAACAAAGGGTGAAAATGAAGAGTTTGGGCAACTTCTGGGGATCCCCCCCTTTGTCTTTTTTCCTCTGGTGGTTGCTTGTTACCTGAAACCAGACAGTGGAGTAGGGTGGCCATCACAGAGGACATTCCAGTTTTCTGCTACTCTGTCTTCTATTGATATGAAACTGTCATGGGATGGGGTCCTCAAGGATGGCCGTGTTACCCCTAGGGCCCCTTTACTGTGCCAATAAGGCCTGCTGGGCACCCTCTGTTCTCACCCGCCACATCTTGATGTAATGATAATGAGTAGGGAGGTTGCCTTCACGTCCGGTCGGACACAATCCCGATAGACTTCCCTGGACCCTGTGGGTCCCCAGCCTTATGGGATGCATGCGTGGCTCCAACCACCCCTTTACCATGCCCCAAGCCTTGCAGATGGTATTGACGTTGTCTCTCCCGGGCCTTGCTATGACTTGGCCCCTTGCTCTCACTGGGCTCTCCGCGGCCCTGTCCCCGCGCCTCACTGGCACCTGGCCTCTCCGCGGCCCTGTCCCAACACCTCACTGGTGCCTGGGCTCTCCGCGGCCCTGTCCCCATGTCTCACCGGCACTTGGGCTCTCTGCGGCCCTGTCCCCATGCCCCAAATGCTGCGCCCTCTCTGGCATCAGGGTCCCTGTGCTGTAGTGGGCCCCCAATGAGGCCTCCTCCTTCCCCAAATAGCTTCACCCAAACAACCCGTTGTTATGAAACAGCAAACAAAACATAAGCCCCTGGGCTATAACATAATACATAAGTTCCCATCGTTCTCCATCCCTTTAAAAGAATCAAACTTTGCCCTGGGCATTCCCAGAAGCTAGACTCACCCTCAGGCCTTATCCCCTAGCTCCCTCTAGGAGGGTCCTTCCCACTTGGCTACTGGCAGCAAACTACCCTCCCTAATTCCCGTCCTGGGGTTTATAATGGGCCCAGGGCCCTGCCCCTTCCAGCCAGCTGACCAGGTGCAGGTGCAGGCTAATTTCCTCATTAGGTGGTTGCCATGGTAACCTGCACCTGGGCTCCTGTCTGGCTCTTTGGGCTCTCCCCAGGAAGTTTCTACTCTTCTAGGAGCAGACACCTAAGTGCCCTGTGACAGAAACCCTAAGCCTTTATGCCTTCTAGAGGCAGGTTTCATATCAATGGAGGACAGAGTAGCAGAAAACTGGAATGTCCTCTGTGATGGCCACCCTACTCCACTGTCTGGTTTCAGGTAACAACGAACCACCAGAGGAAAAAATAGAGGACATAAAGGCATTGGGTTTTGTATCAATAAAGGACAGAGGGCAACCGGACTGCCCTCTTTGATGGCTAACCTACACTGGAGATGTGGAGCTCATACATTCTTTGTGCCTCATCCTCGGTTCTCTCACATCTCCCTCTGAATAGTTTGTCTTAAAGCAGAAGGGGCAGGCAGCTTTGAATATTGTTTCTGCCATGAGAGAGTGACAGGTCTCGTCTTAGTGATGACGTGTAGAGAGCACTGGTGCATCCTCTGACTGGCCGTTCTTGCCACTTAGGTGATGGGCAAGAGGGGAAGAGAATAGGTGCCCCCCCTGTAAGCGCCAGTCAAAGTAGCAACGGTCATTCCCGGAAGCAGCAGCAGCAATCAGCCGTCATGGGATCAGCCACAGGTGTGGGGGGAGACCCCCCCGTCTGTGGGACTGGTTGCAGGGGGAGCATGTGCCCCCCCAACTAAGGTGGCAACAGTCACCCATGCGTTGTCTTGATGTTTTAGAAGTGCCTTGCCTTTTATTCTATTTTCGGGCTTCTACCCTCATGACTCTGGGGCCAACTAAGGTAAATTCAAGCACTCAGGAGAGTCAGCATCATCACCATGGAGATTTTTAGGCCTTGGGTAACAGTAGAAAGTTCTGTTGCCAAACACCCCTTACACGTTTAATCAGTTAGACTCTTCCAGAAACACAAAAATCAAGATGTGTGGGGTCATGTGAGGATCTTCTGGATGAGGTAACAGACTTGAGAACTACAGTCAGCAAATCATCTTTTTAAGAATCTAATGACCTAATTAACACATTCTCTCTCTGCATGTATTCTCCTTAGGGCAATTACTTCAGTGTTCTTATTGTTGAAATATTTTGGACTTAGCCTGATGGAGAACTGGAAAGCTAATTTCAGTACATTCATGATTTGTCCTAAAGGTTTTGGACCTAAAAACACAGGCTGCTTTTACATTTAAGAAAAAAAAACAAGTTCTACTATAATTAAGCAATTCAAGTTTTTGCAGGCCTAGCTCAGTTCTTGGCCTGTTGCCCTGAAATACCTTGTGTCTGAATATCTTTGTTTTTACATTTCAAGAGTGCATTTTGTTTCTCTGCAGGTTATCCAGGCTGTCTTTTTTGGGATCTGTGTATTGACTGACCTCTCCAGTCTCCTCACCAAAGGAAATGACAACCAAGAACAAGAAAGACAGCTAAAAAAGCTCATTTCTCTCCGTGACTGGATGATGGCTGTTTTAGCTTTCCCTGTTGGAGTTGTGAGTATGATGATAAGAAGTTCATTTCAGTATCAACAAGGATAGCTCATATAATCTATTTGTTATTTTCTGGCTGCAAAAAAAGATTTTTCCATTCTCAGAAAGAGTGAAAAAAAGTAAAATTGATGTTAAACTGTGCCCCCTCTTAGTTATCCTGGAGATAACAGACTACTGATATTACTGGAATTATGGTTTGGTTACTTATTTAATTTCATTTTTAAAAACTGCTGTGGATATATGATGTACATGAAATATATTCACACTTCAGTCTTGATCTTGCATGTACAGTGAAAACTAAGACAGAATCTGTAAAACTTGGAAATGTGCTCAAGAGAGAGAATTTCTACAGTTCCAGTATGTCTTATAGGAAGTCACATATGTTTAGCCTGTATAAGTCATAACTGTCTAATGCAGAAATGGAAAGGGAATCTGGGGCCCATTTGTAGAATCGCCCAGCAAATCATGGATAGTAATTACATAGTGTCTAGGTGATGATGTTTGGGGAGATTAGATTGTGTTAAAAATGGCCACCTAATCTTCGTTTGCCCAGGTTTGGACCTTACACTTAGATCCCTAGTTAGGTCAATCTAAATGTGAACTGTACAGAAGTTCAGGAAGGTTATATTGGTCTAAAAGTGGTTGACCTGATCCAAGTTAAGTGTACCTCGGAAGAAATCTGACTTAGATCAAGTCCAGCAAGACTGATCTAATTGAAATTCTGTACAGTTCCCAATGTAACCCCAGGGCTGGAAAAGTTCCCCCACCCCTGACTATGGGCTGTTTTTAGCACCCCCCCAGTCCTTTATCCCCCTCAACTTGGACAACCCCACTTTTGCCCACAGACCAGCCAGACCCTCCCCAAGCTTGCCAACCACCACCCCCACTCAGCTCCCAGCAAGCAGCTCCTGGTGCCAGTTTTACTGGTGTTCGCTGTTGTTGGGAGCTGAGGAAGTAAGTCGGGGTGGAGGTGGACAGGTCAT